AATGAGAAAGCTATGGATATCAACAGCAGAAGGAAAAAATCTAAAATGGGAGGAAGATGCCTACATCCTACCATGCTAATTTATGTTGTTAGAGTGGAAAGTAAATGGCAATGGTAGCTGTGCTGACGATTTTCAAAAGTTGTATTTATTTTTGGCTTCCTTTCAAAAATAATGTTCCAATAAATATGCAGCACGCTGGGTTTGTGGCACTGGTAGTGTGTCCATCACCATGGCACCTGAGCACTCAAGCAAATGATTAACCATCAGAGCAAATGAAACAGAAGCTGAGAGCCATCAGGCACTGTGACAAGCTCTTCATAGACCTTAAGTATGCCAGTACATCTCTGTCTGGACTTTCACTCCTTCAGGCTTTCCACTGTCCTATCTTTCCTGTTTTTATGAAAACCAGGTATTTTTTTCAAGCAGTGAAAAGGGAGGCAGAGATCTCAGACTGGCTTTGGAGAAAGAAGGAAATAAATAAAAAAAAACAACAAAAACCAACAACAAAAAACAACCAAACCAACCAACCCAAACCCAAATACACGCTTTCATCAGAAAAATATTGCTTAAGGACACAGTAAGGAAAAAAATAATTTTCATTTGCACAAACCAATTATGAATCGACAAACTGTTATGTCTGCTCTGCCATCAGTTTAACCCTTAAATTACTTCTCTGAAGAAGGAAAACAAGTCTTTCTTCACTGAGGGCAAATATGATCTTTCAGGAGACTGATGCAGACCATACTTCAACACTATTGTTAGCATTATCTAATAATAATGAAAAGAATACATAAAAACATATGGCTATGTGCCTTCTTCAAAAAGTCTGGAGATTGCATCAGGCCCTCTCCACACTTCAAATAAGCAGCAAGTTAATGACAACTCCACAGATGTTTGTTTAACATATGTGCATATAACTACTGTTAGCTTCTTCTGGCTTAGGATGCTTAAGCAGAGACCTCTGAGGTTTTAGAAAAAAAAATAAAAATCTTCTGTTGAATCATCTATCCCTCGCTGTTTTGTTTTGTACAGAATCTCTGAGGGGCACAGGAAAGCAGAGGGCCTTGCATGCAGCCTTTACAAAGGCTAGATCCTTTCACTACTGGAGAATTGTGCAGTTATAATACAACACTCACTGTTTTCCATCACTAATCAAGAAAATGATATTGCACACTAATTAAACTGGTGTCACATGGAGCTTTTCCTCTTCAGTGTCACTGCTTCAGACTTAGGAGATAGTTACATCCTCTCCATTCCAGTTTATCCTTTAAAGAGGAGTAAGTTTTGGGGACAATGCCACATTGCCAGCAATGAAGACTCAAGTTCTCACTTCCCAGGGCAGGTACAATGTGCTGTGCTACCACTGTGCCTCAGCAGCAGTTTTGAAGCACATAAGGAGCACTGCACTGCCCACCTATATTTGACTGTGAAACTCTGGATTAAAGTTCACTCTAAGCATCAGTCTGATTCTGTTACCTCTCCTGTGTCTAAATTATATCCATCACTGTCATCTCTAAAGATTCAGATCTTCTGCACACTTTATCAGGCATTATAATCGAAGCTAATGAAAGATAGGTTTGTTTAGCTGTTGTAAATGGCTTTGAAGATCTCGGTTTGAACAAGGGTGATGAATTAAGGATGTCATCTGGGCAAACAGTTTAATTTCGAATGAACTTAGCTAAAATGGATTACTGAAAAACCAATACAGACTTTTCAAATTCATATTATTTCACATACTTTACCAGTAAATATTTTACCCTTTCTTGCCACCTGACTCACCAAGCATAAACTGAAAGAATCAGCAATGACATTCAGCTTCTCAAACATGAGACTAACTGGTGACTATAGGTGTAAGAAGCCTCTTTTTGGCTGCAGCAGGGAGTATAGCCCTCAAACAATTTAGCCCTCAGCAGACTAAATTTCTGCATAGTAGCAATTCTGTAAAACAGCCTGAACATGGTAATCAAAGCATTTTATAACAAAATTCAGAAAGTAACAACTGCAAAGAACTATTCCATAACACAGTTATTTATTGGAAGTACCTGGGGTTTTTTTATTCTCCCTGGTCCATTTTCAATGAATTAAAATAATAACTTAAGGGGAAAGAAAATTATCTTAAAATAGTCGCAGGGGTTTTTTCCTCTCTCAGGTAATTTGGAGCCAGGAAGATTCCAAAATAACAGCATGATTGTTGAAAATCACAGGGTAAGGTTGGAAATGTCTAGAGGTCATCTAGTCCAACCTCAAATCGGTGCCACCTTAGAACAGGTAGCTCAGAATTAAAAGGGAAAGAAAATAATTTAAAGAAAAAAAATTTAAAGAAAAAGAATTTTAAAAAAATTAAGTCTTCCTCTATCCCCTTTTGCACCAGAAGGGGGGGGCGAAGTAAGGAAATATTTTCTTGAAACATATAGCTCTTCTGTGTTGTTTATTAGTAAATATGACCAACATGGAAAATAGATTAAAGCTTCCTCCTTTGGTTGACCTACTTCCCTTTCTGTCTTGATGCAGGTAACATTTAAGCACAATGTGTGGCAAACTCCAACTCAGTTACCAGCGCTGCTCTGCCACACTGCTGGCCAGAAAAGGCTAGGAATGCTGCAAGTTCAGCTCCAGTGACAGAGAAAATGCTCCATTTATTAGCAGTCCCCTCCAAGTTAATCAAGGAACGGAGCCAACAGCTGCTGAGGAGGGTTCCACCCCATCTTTTCCTGGGAAAGCAAGGCCTCTAGGGCAGGGCCTGGACTGTACAGCAAAGGAGAATAGGGTGGGGAAACCTTGGAAGATCTCAGTGAAACCCAGATGACTCATCAGAAAGTAAAACATTTCTATTTTGGCAAGAGGCTGAAATAGCAGCCCTAGGTTGTGCTGCAACACAGCAATAAATGACCCTGAGCGCTTGGGACAAACTCCTGTGCACATTGATATTCCTAACGGTAGGGGCTATTTCATATCTCATTAAACAAAGAGGTTTACATGACAATTAACACATTAATTAGCGCCATCTTTTTCACAGTTGGAACTTTGCCTTGAGATTTCAACATTTTTAGACAACTGTTCTGTGAGTGAAAATGAAGGAATAGTTTTTTTATGACTCAAGGTCATAAAAAGGTGACACTCTAAGTGGCAAGGACTCTTATGCAGAACTGGCACAGAAATATATTTATCTATGTACTGAAGGACACTGCAACCAGTCAATGGCCTTTCCCATAACTTCCATGTGAGGACGGCCTCCCCGTACAATCTGCACCCTGCCATTCCAAGCCTGGCCCTCAGCCTAGGTAAGGTGCCAGGCTGGACACTTCATAAGCTGACCATAAACAAGCCTAATGTAGCCCAAAGTCACACAGGGGCAAAGCAAAGCCTGGATTTCAACAAGCAGTAGCTCTCATTCCTCAGCCCCAGCTGCTGACCCGTGTGGCTCTCCACTACAACAATCCCTTCAACTGTATCTGTAGAGATATGACATGTGGGAAAACTCTTCAGCAAACGCCAAAAAGCAACACTGCTAAATTCACTGAAAATAGGTAACAGCTATAAGAGAATGTTTATTGCCCAAGAGCTTCACATTTTAGATACATAACTAGTAACTTCTGCGAGGGATCACTTTAAAGAAGAGTTGGCACACAAGTATAGATATCCTTAAACTGCATGTGTATTTCTCTCTCAGGTGTTTGTTCAATACCATCTTTAATTTCTATTTTCTTTTGAGAGAATGGATTTGCAAGTATACAAGAAGACATAGAATACTGGAAATGGAATGAAGGGAATTAAAAACTGCAAACTGGAACTCGTAGCTTTCAAGACCAGGTGGATTCTGATATTCATGGGGTCTATTCCCTATCAGATGGATGTTGCCAACCCATGGAAAATAGTGACATGGTTTATATATGTTATCTTTTACTTCTCTCAGGTATATACTACAAGGAAGTATGTATAAACAATAATAAACAATGTATAAACTAACAATAAACATATTAATCTTTTACCTGTTTTGGCACTCAAGGCACAGAAAAATCATTGTGTCATAGCCTTACCTATCATACCACTTACAAAATAAATCTATGCTCAGGAGGAACACTTTTCCTTTAATTAGCTTTTCAAAGCTGATGATACTTTTTAGAACATGATTTATTTCTTTTATTTATCACCCTGCCTTGTTTCAGATGGATACTGTTTGACTGACCTCTAGATACCCTTGCACTTGCTCTGTGATATCCTCAGAATGTCAATGCTTTGATTCTTCATCTTTCATTTCCTAAACGTTTCTTATTGGTCACTTCTGCTACCAGTGGCAGCTGAAGTGGAAGTTTATCCTCTGATAATCTGTACTGCTTTAATGGTTCCCACCATCCTGAGGACATTTTCCAAGTGTTATGGTGACACCAGCTGAGATCTTGGCAACAGAAAAGTGTTTCATATGTTTATTTCCTAACTTAGTCTTTTGGGGTTTTTTTCTGCTTTCCCAAGCCTCTGTTACTCCCTTGATTTCTATGGCTCAACTCCTTTTGTTATTGCTATATTCTTTGTTATCATTTCTCAGTATCTTTCTGATTATAAAGCCTTTGAAGAACCTGAGGGCATTGCCAACATGCATCCAAAAATCTCTTAGTAAAGAGATGAGCAAAAATCTCCGCTAAAAGGAACAATAATAGTTACATCTTATTTATATATTTATCTGTAAACTAGAGTCTAGGAACTATAGCACACAAACCTTGTAAAATGATGAGCATGTTTCAAACAGTTTTAATATAAAATATCACACATAAAACAGCTCACCAGTTTTAGCATGTCTCCAAAATAATGTATGCTTAGAAATGCTTATCCTTGTAGCATCATTATCCTTTCTTTTTTTTCCAAAAGGAAATTATTCTTGCACCAGCATGCCCAAAAAAGCAAAATTCTCATATAATTTCAATCACTCAGTTTGTTTACGACTTTTATACAGCTGACTGAACATCTATTATCTCACCCGAAAGAGAAGCTGTGAGTTTGCTCACCTTGGTCACCTGCAGGATTTTTGAAATGCCTCCTCTTCTGTTCCTTCCAAAGAGTGCCTTTCTGCATCTCCCAGTCCATTCCCGAGTCCACTGAACATGTAGACATTGATAAGTTCTGGCTAAGTTATCCCACGTAACTCTGAAGAAAAAAAGGAGACCCTTGCAGATGCTGCAGAAGGTCTTCTTTACTCTCTTAGAAAATTTTGTTTCCTTGGTGGTCTGTCACAGTCAGGTCTCCGGTAGTAAACTGAACAACCTATCCTCCTGGCTCTTCTTTTCTTCTTTTTCTTTTCTGTAAACACATAATCAGGGCTTCAAATCCTTTAGGCATCACAAAACTGTATTTCTCTATTGCCCTCTACTGACTGCTGGGTAACGCAGCCTTCCCGGAGAACTGGCGAGCAACAGATACACGGTAACGCGTTCCCCCGCCGCCCTCCCTCGGATCGATAATGATACACGATGACCAAAAGTCAACACAAATCATTCTATTTTTCTCTTTGTTACAGAACACCAGGCAAGATTTACAGCTTCTTGGCCAGCCGTGGTAGCTGCAAAACACTCAACAACAGAAGCAGGAAGCAGTAACATGGCTCTGCCAATGTGGGTTTTTTTTCTTTTTTGCGAACAAAAGCCAGGAGAAAGTACAGACGAATGCATTCTGCCTTGAAATGCAGATGAATTTGCCCCACTGATGCCACAAATACTGTACTGGGGATCTGAATGTTATCTGATTTTAAGGGTTTTAAGGTCCTGCCAGCACTGGATGCACAGAAATACTGACTTTTGATGGGGGTTCTGCATGAAGGGGCTGGTAGAGAGCCATGAATTTAAGGCCGTGGGTTTTGGTCATTTCCCCTTTGTGTCTAAGAGTTCTGTTTAGCACATTCAACACCACACCTAACATGGGAAACATCATGTGACAGGACCCGGGACAAGACACATACTGTGTATGAATGGCACTGGGAGTGGCTGTTGGCACTGCTTTTCGGACAAAGATGATCTATAATGCAAAGAGAACCCAGCGAACTAAGATAAAAAAGGGAATGGCCCAAAGTTGTTTTAGGAGCAGAGGAAAAAAATATCAGCATTTCAGCCAGACTGTAAGAGATTGAGAAGAAAAAAGCAGGGATAAGAAGAGTGTAAGAGTGTGGGGGAGGGGGAAGCGGTTGGTGGAGAAATCAAAATTAATCCTTTGCATTGTATTAGTCACTGCTTAATAAGTAAAGCACAGTGCTTGCTAACCAGGTCACTCGGGCACTTGTTCTCACCAAAAAAAAGTTAAAAAAGGGTGCTGGTGCAAGTGTTCTGTCCCGCCTGCACCATTCCAGGGGCAGGAAGAAGTCAGTCTGTCAGCTCCAGGCAACAGAATAAATCCCCAGCACATCTCCCTTTTGCTAGGCAGAGGCTGGGAGAGAACATGGTATTATCTTGCCGTAACATTCTTTCTCTGCAACCAACTCTCCTAGGGAGCAAGCATGGTTAAAAAATTATAAAAATAGACCCACCCCTCAAAAAAGTGTTGGAACTATTTTTCCTTACTTGCGTTCAAAAAATACATTCATTTTTTTCCCACCAATATTAATAACCAGGAATATTTAATTTGCAAAAAAATCTGTTGACTGATGAACATTGGTTGTGCTTTAAATAGATATTATACGACATCCCTGCTCTTCCACTTAGGAAAGACAGAATTCACATAAGAACTATGATCAACCAAGCCAGCAACATGGCAACAACAATTTAATATTGAAAGGTTCATTGAAAAAAATTATTTTCAATTCAAAGATAAAGTCAGCAGAGGCCCTAATTGTAGCTATTAGGAACATTTCATTAACAAGCCAGATTTACTGACTGCATTGTAAAGCTCTATTAAAGGAAGCCCTGAAACTCCTTTTTGCCCCATGCTTTTTCTATGTCTAAAGCCCTCAGCTATTTCTTATTTTGTAACATGGAATAATTGTATTTATTCAAATTCCTTGATAGAATATCGAAGCCTGCTCAGCTGAATACCTCTCCTAAATGAACACCATTACCAATAGATCAAAGGAGAAAAACATCTAGCAAATGAATGGGGCCGAGGATACACATCAAACGGTGAAAAGCTGAGGGTTTGGGCTTTTTGTTTTTGTTTGGTTGTTTTGTTGTTTTGTTTGTTGTTTTTTTTTTAATGGGAGCACATTTGCAGAGCGATAAAGCAACTATGCAGTTGCCAAAATTCATAGAAGGGCACCTCAAGTAGAGCGGGCGACGGGTTAAGCTCAGCACTCCCGAGCATCACTCTGGAGCTGCTGCTGTTGCAAATCCTTCACGTGACAATCCCTGACAGAGACATCCGTAGGGTTTGGTTTTGGGTTTGGTTTTTTTTTTCCCCATAGAATCACAGAATAGTTAGGGTTGGAAGGGACCCCAAGGCAGGGTTACCCAGAGCAGGTGACACAGGAACGCGTCCAGGTGGGTTTGGAATGTCTCCAAAGAGAGGGAGACTCAGCGACGTCCCTGGGCAGCCTGTTCCAGAGCTTTGCCACCCTCAACGCAAAGTTCTTCCTCATGTTTTTTTCCCTAGGGTAAAAGTTTTCTTCCCTACAGGCAAAACTTTTCACGCCGCTGGAGACACAGACGGCTCCCGAGCACGCACTGCCCGTTCCGAGCGGGCGGCGCGGTGAGGGCCGGGCTCGGCTCCCCTCCAGCCCCTCCGCCCGCCGAACCCCCGGGGCGGCCCGCGGGGCCCCGCCGCCGCTCTCAGCGCCAGCCCCGGCCGACCCTGGCCCTTCCCCCGCTCCCGGCCCAGCGACTCGCGGTACCGCGGGCCCACCCGAGCCCGGTACCATGGAGCTGCGGCCGCGGGCAGCCGCCGGGGCTCAACCGAGCGCTGCACATCGGCCGTGCTTCCCTTCCGGCGGGGCGGGCGCTGGGCGCCATGGGGCGGCGGCGGCTGCTGGCGGCGGCGGCGGCGCAGCTGGCGGGAGCCTGCCCGGGACAGGCGCGGTTCCTGCTGTAAGGAGCCGCGCCGAGGGTGGGAGAGGCGGTGGGGGCGGGCGGGAGGGGGTGGTGGGACAGAGAGCGCAGTGGTGACGCGCGGGGTGTCCCCGCCCGGTGGCGGTGCCGTGACGCTTTCCCTCTCTCCCCCAGGTGGACGCTCCGCAGCTCCCGAGGCGAGTGAGGGTCCCCGGGCACACACGGTGGTACCGCGGCCGGAGGGGAGGGGCTTCGGAGCAGGGCGCCCCTCCAGCGGAGGCTCCTGCGGTGGGAGGGCAGCGCAGAGGTTGCCGAGGGGCAGGAGCGTGGGAATGCCGCCTTTCCCATTTCCTCCATTATGCCCCTTCCTTTGCACTGCTCCCGGAGGGCCGTGCCACGCCGTGCTCCGGGCTGCCGCCAGGAATGTCGAGCTTGCCGGAGAGCGGGGGCCAGGTGTTCCTCAGCGGTGTAGGGAGAGGGGCTCGACTCCGGCTCTGGCAGCAGGAGCTGATAAAGCAGATGCAGGAGCCTCTTACTGGGTCTGAAATTTATCTCAAAGCATTCCTTTATCCCAGGCTGAGGTGCGGTCGTTTCCTCGCACTTAAAATGGGCAAAGAGCTTTACAAGGCTTTGGTGTCCCTGATCTGGCAAGAGTGTGCCTGCAGGGAGCTCCTTGCAGAATTGTGAGCCTCCGTTGTTAAAAGATTTTCAGACAGGAATTCCATTTTTCAGTAAAATCTGCAGTTACATATTGTGTGAACTTACACCATAAGCATAAACTTACCCTGAATTGTGCTTAGCTGAGCACATACTGGTGCCCAGCTTCCTCCAGAATCCTAGTTGTATCTTAAACATAAAAACACGTACCTAGGTATTGTTGAAACTGAAACATACTGTATGAATCTTTGCTTATAAAAATAATTTTTTTCATTCTTTTACCTTTATTTATCTGTAGCTAATGAACGTGAATTAGAAAGGATATGTCCTTACTGCTTCCAGTTCCTGGTTCCTGATGGCTACCGGGTGCGTCTCAAACCAAAGATGAAAGTGTCTCCACAGATAGAGAAAGTTCTTAAGCGAGAGGCAAAGAACCATAAACTTAACATGAAACAGACAAAGCTTTTGAAAAAGTACAGGGAGTCAAGAAGCATTCTGGTAAGGACATTTATTTGGGACTGACAAGTACATGACATTTCTCTAAATTTCATGTCCCTATTTCAGTGGCATAAAAAAGAAGATACAGAAACCTTCCTCTCAGAAGAGGAGCCCACACCTGCACATTTCTTTTTCATGAGCATATGTCTCTTTCTTGTGGAATAACTTCTATTCATTTTAAATCTACCCTTCCCAATAGATAAATCATGAACAATGACAAGAACAGTAAGATTTTCCCTCCAAAAAACCCCACAACCCCACATTGTCAGAAGCTACACAAACAGCTCTGCCTTCCCTGTGATATCTTTAGCAGCAGTCTGGATAGACTCTGCAGATGTCTAAGCTCTTGCTGAAAATTAAGTAATCTTTTCCTGCCAGAAGCTCTGGTATTTCCACTGTCAGCTACTGTATCATTAGCATAGCTTTGCAAAAAAAATGGCAGGAGTAGCAGATTTCTGCCTGTTTCTTTTTTTCCTACAAATGGGGCAGAACTAGAACCAGGCAACTGTACCAGATGCAGAGCTTTAATACAGCCATGTAGATCCTAAATCCATTGCTAAGAATAGTCCCATACCTAAGAAGCAAAACATGCCATTGACTGAAATCAGGCTTATTGTGATAACTTGACATTTACTGCCTTTGTTTCAGTTTTATCAGTTTTTAAGTTGAGCAAATATATTTTTACACAAGCTGTACTTCATTTATTTCACTAGACTCTCATGGCTACATCAGATTATTGTTACCTTCTGTATTAATTGAATTTTTTACATTTGTCTGAATATTACTGTTTATAGAAATCTTTCAAAACTAAACTATGGAGGTAATTTCAACAAGCTGATGTTGCTCTTGGGGGTTCAGTTATTTTTCCTAGAAGTGCTCAGGAGTGTGAACTTTAATTACTATTTTTTATAATAACTACTATTTGAAGAATAATAGTATACGTTTAATCTAGTGTGGCCAAGGTATGTACTACTTTTAGAACACGTTATGTGAATGGCTGTTGTAATAAATGAAACAGCACCCTATTGTGCACAGCAGTTGCTAGCACACTTGGTATTTTCTTCTGTTAGAGTCTGCTGGTTTGGGGGAGTAAAATTTATGAAACCAAAAATTATTAAAGCGTTAATAAAACAAAATTAAACTCAGGAAATATCAGCGAGGTTCTTGGCTTTGAGAGCAAAATAAGATGCTCCATAAATCACTTTCCCCAAATTGTAGAGCACAGTTGAGCTTCAGAAAGGATATCTGAAAAGGTTCTTCACCCAGAGAGTGAAGCACTGGAACAGGCTCCCCAGGGAAGTGGTCACAGCACCAAGGCTGACAGAGTTCAGGAAGCATTTGGACAATGCTCTCAGGCACATGGTGTGATTCTTGGGGCTGTCCTGTTCAGGGCCAGGAGTTGGACTTTGATGATGCTTATGGGTGCCTTCCAATTCAGGGTATTCTAAGATTCTGTGAGCTGAAATCTTGGCTTTATTTTTCTGGGATCGCAAACATTTAAGGGTATCTTAAGAACTGTCTCTTTAAGCAACTGATGAACATGAAATTACGATGGGTTCTTAGTCTTATTCTGTAGCTAGAGAGAGTTTGTAAGGACACACTGTGCATTCATATAAGTAGTTTAAAATTCAGTTTCAAAGAGGTCCAGTGTAAACTCTGGGTAATATTTTAATCTTGGTATGTAACTACAGTTTGCTGCATTTTTGTTCTGTTCAGTTTGCATTTGTCCTACGGATTATGGTTTAAGTATTTCTCGTCTTAGTCTTTAAAATGCTGTCAGCAACTGGCAGCTTTCAAAATTAGCAATGTAGATCCCTGTAATCTAATACCTGAGACTTGTGAAAATGAAAATTCAAGCGTGGTTGAAAATTAAAGTGAGCAACAATGTGACAGGTTGTACCTCTGATACCTTTCTTGGCAAGTAGAGCTTGATTTTAGTCTGTTTCTGCTATGAAAAGGCATATAACATAGGGCAATTTTGGAACTTTAAAATTTTTGGAGTTAACTGCAGATCCAGTTCAGGGAACAGAAACTAGCTGTGAAGTGCTACTATTAATCCAGTAATTCCTGCATTGTAAGGTGGTCACCTCCACTTATATTCCACAGAGTGCTAAGTCGCCATGTGATGCTGGGTTTTTTCCCATCTGAATTACATTTAGAAGAACTAAAAATACATCAATACCTAAGCAGCAAAAGTTAATGTTATTTCTTTTTTTTTAGTTCATTAGGCTTACAAAATAATGTCTAGAGACAGTCAAAATACTTAAGTAACTGAAAACATTTCATTTCGGCATCTCTAAATGCAATTTTTTTCTAAACAATCTGAATTTAGTTACATTTACACACTTTGAAATTATTTGGTATAGATGTTTTCAAAACTGCTTAGACATTTTTGTGACAGTCTTTTGAGTATGTTTTTTTAACCAGAAACATCACGAAACTGTTTCTCTGTCAGTGTAATTGTGTGCCTCAGAAAGTTGTCTGGCTGTATTACTCTCATGTCTCTTAATATGGGTAGTTGCCATGACAGTAAGGGATATCAGGAATATCTGACAGTCTCTGTGACTGTCTGACATTATCTGTTCTGATGCACCTCTCAACTTACTGCGCTGCTGGAAGTTCCTCACAGCCTAGAAGTAAACAGAGAGAAGAGAAAGTGCCCTTTGTTCAGAACATCCTCCTTATTGTAGTAAGTATTTTTGCCCTAATAGAAACCCTCATCTGAGGGTTCACTGAGACTTCGTGTTACTAGTTAAATGGATGGCAGTTTTTTGGAGTTCGGTAATTTAAATATTTTACCTCAAGACTCCCTGGAAAGTGTGCAATATGACTTTATCAGGCATACAATATGCTAATGTATTTAGATCATATGGTATGTCATGCTTTTTAGCCAAATACAAGTACCTCTAATGTACAGAGGTGCTCTTGTATCCTCAATGTATCTTGTATGCCCAAGATACCATATATCCGGTTCAGTTGCTCTTTCATCTTTCTGTCTTGACAGGGTTGTTCTCTGTAGTTCACTGTACAACGTTAAGTTCAGAGTTACAAGTCTTCTGAAATTACTCCAGGGAATTGGAATAATTTCCACATAAACCCATAGGAAGTGTTTGGCTTAAGAAATATGAATTAAAATATTAGTTGTAAAGTATATGTTACTTTTTAATATCTCATGTTTTATTTAAGCAAATATTTAATTTGTGTCATGGTATTTGGAAAACAGTTTGGATAATTTTTAAAATGGCTTTATAAAATCAAGGTAGAAAGACTGAAAGAAAGCTTGATATTTCTTTTCTTCTCTCCACAGCTAGTTACTTGCAAATCATGCAACAAAACAACAAGACATTATGGTAAAAGCAGGGATTTTCTGTCAACCAAGACACAAAATTCTGGCATTCCAAGTATTAAATCTAGCCTCAAGACACCAGATGTAAAAATTCCATCTTCGAAGAAAATTACACCTGTAAGCTGCAGTAGGTCGGGATCTAAAGGGAACAGTCCCTCAACGCTTCCCAGGTACCTGTTTCTCTCCTATTTAAAGAAGCACTTTGCCAAGTAGAGTGTATTATGTCTTGATTTTAGATCAGTCATTTAGTAAACTTTAAATTGATAACTAAGTGTTTTTCTCAGTGGTGTGGTTGATGAGATCAATGTTAGCTTTCCAACCTTTAAAATCAAAGATTCTCATGAAAAGCCACTGTGCGCAAAAGAATGCTCAGTTATGTTAGTGTCATTAATGTGAAATGTCTGTCTTAAAATCTGCATAACAAAGTTATACTTCTGACTGCTTTCACATGAAAATACACTACTTACCTTGAATTTTTTTTCACCCAAATTATATATGTGCACTTTCACAGTTACGTTATGTTAATTCTGATTTTTCACCTTTAAGACATTTGAGTCTTGTTTTTCAGAACATGTGAATCTGGACAGGCAACAACCAACTCTGCTTCCAAGACTCCCCGAAACTCCAAATTTCACTTTTCTAAGCTAAAACGGATGCTCAACCTAGAAGAAAAAGAGAGAAGCCAGAAGGCAGATTTCAAGACCTTCTTGACTTTACTTTAGTTCTGTATTATTTCAAAGTAATAAAGATTACAGCAATAAATATTGTTCCAGTTCTAGTAAATCAACAAAGCAGTGTGTCTAAAACTCAAGCTAACAGCCTCTACCCTGCGAAAGCATAGATCATATTTTTTAGAGGCAAGCTCAGTTTCGAAGGGGAGAGTGATTGTCTGCCAGAGGGAGATGAGAACAGAGCTACTCTATTATGCTTGGGAACCTTGAATGTGTTTTGGAGTTTCTGATGGTCCAAGAATTAAAAGCCAGGATTTATCCTTTGAGGAAGCCAATGATATCAGATTGATCGGTGGATCCACCAGAACCAAGAGATAGGTTGGCTGACCAGAAAGCAGTTTGGGAATGCAGAGGTCACAGTTTGCTCCCCTTCACTGTCCCACTATTGAGATAATTCATCACAACAGAATGTAAAAAATCTCCCCCCTGCTTTGCATGTTTGAGTAAAACAAAGACACTCACTGGCACCTTTTTCAGGTACGTTATTTTCAAGGGTCTAATGTAGTGTCCTGTAGTGTTGCTGTATTTTGATAACTGTGGCAATTTAAGCGCAGCCTTTACAAAGATAAAATTAACCTACTTTTTAAGACAGCGCTCATATACAGAGAGAGAAAACTATCACCAGATTTAAGTTTCTTCATTTTCTCCATGATATGGACTGCAGATGGTACGGGTCCCATGATAACAGAGCCTTGGGTGCACTAACTGCACTCGGATGTGGGATGCTCTCAGTACCAACTGACAACTCCACACTAGACTGGTACCAGCACCCTGATTAGTTACTGATAGAAGAGTGGCACAGTCATAAAGAACAGAGGATACTTCTTTTCCAGTTGCTCTGGTGCTACCAAAATGGGTCACTTTAGTTTTGTGAAAATGACTGAGTTCTGAGAACCTCTTTCTTAAGAATCTTTCAGTTTTGTCAGGCTTCAGAGTTGCTTCCTTTCTGGACTTCAGTCTGGAAAACTAGTATTACCCTGGACAGTAGAGAAGTCGTTTTGATGGGAAAAGGTGATTGTCAATATTAAAGCAGTCTCCAGTGTTAGATTTTCAATTTAAACTTTGGTACAGGGATGAGAGAGGACAGTATGTAAAGTCACTGTTCAGGACTGAGGTTATAGCCTGTCCTGCATACAGTCTGCAGTGGTAAATTCTTCAGATTTCCCTTGTGAAAAAGAGAACGAATCAGTTAAAAACATTTACATACTTGAATTTAAATGTCCGTATTTTCTTTTCTTTTTTTTTTTTTTTTGTTAGTCTAGTAAATAGTTCCTTTTAAGTGTGTTCAGACTCAGTGAACAGCGCTTAAGAAAACTGGACCAACAAATAAGTGGGCAGACTGGAAAGCAATCCAGGGCAGGGGAGAATAATTTGCTGTAAATTGTACATACAGTCTCAAAGATTGGCATGTAACCTTTTTATATCTCCTGTATGCTTGCACAATAACTGAAAGGTTCACTGCCGTTTGTCTCTTATGTACATGTAGGATCAAATTAACTGTCATTCTTTGATCAAAATACAAACCTTGGAGTGATGCCTTTTCCAGTGTAGAACTTGGCATTACTTCACCTGTTGCTGTATTTACGATCCAGTCCTCTGGAAAAATACTTCAATCTTATTGACGGAAAATGTGCATTATACAAAAGTGTTTGAAAAAACAAGTTTTGCAATAAAATTTCCTATTAAAAGTACACACATTAGCTATGCTACTGCTGTGCTTCCCATGAGGCTTATGTGAAACCATCTGCTGTGTTTTAAGGTGCCCCAACATTAACGTTAGATCAAAGCACATCTCCCAATTGTCCCTGTTTACTGTGCTTCTTACGCAACACCTTGTGGTCTCAAGAGTGCATTCCTTTTGGATAAAACTACAGATAAGGGATAAAAGACAATGAGGGGGGCACAACCAGCATGCTGAGAAAGCTACTGGGCAATCTGTTCACGGACCACGGGATAGATGTCTAAACTAGGTGTCTCCAAAAAGTGTATTGTGGGTGGCAGGCACCAAGCTACAGTTATTCTGCACTCCAAATGTATAACTATTGCATCACTCTATTTGTTAATGTAGTCTTGTCTTGTTCCAAACATGTTTTTTCTTTGAAATTACCAGAGTTGTCAGGTATGTCCAGCTGTGTTGTTAAAAGTGATCGTTATTGTAAGCTATAAGACTTTATTCAGGGAAAAAAAAATTAAAAAAGGTCACACATTTTACAAGTGTGCTTAAAAATGCTGGGTAGAAATGACCTTCAGTGCTTTTATGTTTTTCCTAAGCATACAGCCCTTGCATACAGGCATTTAAGTATAGAGTTATTTCCCAGCTCATACAAATCCTATCTAGGCAACGGTGTGTGTCTCATTGGCAGTAATAGCATCATACCATATCAAAAATGTTACTGTGTCTTAATGTAACCAGCTCAACTAAAGCATGTTTTACTTTGAAACATCAGTTTGAGCCACTTTCCCATTTTTTGAGTATTGGGAGCCTCAAGGTGACATATTCCAACTGGTTCCCTCGCACCCATCCTCACCTCTGAAGAACAGCAAACTTTGGCTAAACTAGATGGTATATGAATAGTAGTTTATTTTTTTAAATTTACAGTTCTAGAGATAGGACCTCAGACCCTTTAATGCACTGCTTCCTCAATGAAAACTGTCACACAGAATACAGAGAGTAATAAACCTCAAAATTATTATCAACTGTTTCCTCAGCATCATCATTGTGAGATCTTGTCTGACTCATAAGTATAGGAAGCATTTACATAAAAGCCATTTCCCACCATGAGATTGAGTAGGCAAGCAATAAATAATAATTTCAAAGATGTTTTTACAACAATGTTTTATTAAATATGAAAGAGCGTACATACAGGTGTGTTATTCTGAGGACATAAATTACACAAGGATTACAGGTTCTGTCAGAAAAGCACAATAATGAAACATCTTTACATTTCAAACTTTTCTTGTTAGCTTTTAACAAATGAATCTATTTCTGTTGCAAACAAATAACGAGTGCTATTGAACTTCTGCAAATTCCCACAAAAACATCATGCTTAGTAGGATAATTTAAATATTGTAAATATGAATTCTGAATTAGATTCCTAAATAACACAATGGAAGAGATTTACTACTTAATCAAGATAAATGACACACTGAAATAGGAGCCAAGACAAAATTGGTCATTCATTAAAAAAGAATTCCACTTCAGACACTACATTTGAGTCTGCCTTCTTTACTTGCAGGAATAGTCACTGTGATTATGTGCATGAGTAATGAACAGAACCGGCCCTAAATATTTATAGAAGTAACCATCAAATTTTAGATGTGGTGGTTTTCATTGATCCTCCCACTGAAAAAACCCCACACCCACAGATCCATTTGCTTACGTTTCAAGAGGCTGACATCCAGCACTTCTGTAGAGTGCCAATCAAGCCTGTGTATGATTTCCATGTCTTCCATAGTTGTCTGCACAGCTGGCTACTGCATCCTATGTATCTATTTTGGGTCATCATCAAAGTAACAGACTGAGTCGCCACTGACTTGTGAGAGCAGCATTAGTCCGTGGAAGTCTTAACACACTGTCTTTTTAAACTTCAGGTAAACAGGAATGTAATTTTGTCATAATGAAAGCTCTCAGTTTGACACTCAGAAGACTACTCGGATAAAATACATAATAGGCATGTAGATTTGGGTTGTGTTGCTAGGGATTAACAGAGGTGTTTTAATATATTAATACAAACATTAACAGAGTGAATCAGACAAGCTAATGTTACTGCAGGCTGTAGTTTAATTTCCAAAAGGAGTAATGAAACATAATTTCTAAGAATAGTAATTTTTGTAACTAATGACTTCACATTTATTTTTCAAACCACAGAATTGGGGTAATATTCCTGATATCTTTCAAAACATTCTGCAAAAAACACAGCTTGAGCCTGCAAACACTAGAATATACAAGCAGTCCCAGTGACCTCCAAGAGAAGCATTCTCATATGGCAAAGTGCTGCAGGAATCTCTTTGCTTTTTTCAGAGAATGCTCAATAAAAGTGCAATATAGCAAAGCAAATAATCTAATTATTATGCTTCTATTATTAGATGAAAAATGTTCAGATATTTTATAATTGTGCCTTTTGTAGGGTGGGCATTCTGGTCTGCAAAGAGTCAGACCACATTAAAAGAGGCAGGCAGGGTATACCCACACATTTTCTTTCCCAGGGTGGTAACGCACCAAAGCACTTCTATTGTAAATCCCACCTACAGCTAAACCATTGTGCTGCCCAGTTTCACAATTACTTCTGTTTGGACAAAAAGTTCAGTTTCCTTTACATTTCCACCCAGGCATGTTCTCCCTTCCAGCTCCCAGGCACCCCACCATTGCCCACCCAGCCTCTTTTCTTCCTGAGATGTCAGAAGTACGTACATTAAGCTCTGGAACCTGAGAATTTGGAGGTATTTTTTGACACTACAGGACTGCATTTGTATCATACCATGTTATCTTCTGCTACACTATTACAGTCACAAGATAAATCTTCTAACTACTTGATACCTGATGCCTTTTCCATATAAATAAAAAAAAAACAACGTACCGTTCAGCCACTAATATACAACACTTGCTGTAAGAGTGACCTTTGCCTTCCACAAGTCCTCTTTTCCAAAGAAATATTGAGGGATCATTTCCAAAACTCCAGCTGTGAAAAACTCCTTGAACCAAACAATTTTCACAGTAAAATGAAGAAAAATATATCCAGAAAATAACACTCTCTCAAAATTAAAACTTATATACATCAAGAAGTAGTTGAGGTTTTTTCCTCATTCTTTTATCAGTTCTACATTATCTGCAGATAAACAACATTACCACTAAGAGTTATGAAGAGGAAAAACAAATCTAGTGAAGTGTCACGTCTTTTTTAAAACCCTCGAGAGATCAAGAAAATTCAGCATACAACTTCATTATTATAGTTATTTTCAATTAAGGCAGCAAACGACTGTTTAAAATTCCCTATGATTTTGAGTATCCAAGACAGATCCTTCAATGCAGTCCAACAAGCCATGTCACTGTACTTATTTTGTACCTCTGGGTACAAATTAAGTTTTCCATGGATGGAATTCAACCATTGTCCTAGTTACAGGGGCCAGGACCAGTTTATCACTATGTGGGTATAACCAAAACTGTGTATTCTACACCCTGTATGAGATTTTTGATGGACTGTTAATAACAGGTCATTTGCAGCAGCTGCCCAGGGCAGCTTCTAGGGAAGTTGCCTGGAGGCCTGCTCTGGGAGTGGATACTGCTAAGTGGCACAGAAAGTGGCAGGACATGGGCCAGTATTTGGAGAGCTTCTCTCCTCCAATGATCTGGAAATTCACCCCTGAACAACTTCAGGACCCTGTTAGAGCAATAAGATACGTGAGAGGAAGGTGCTCTGACAGCTCCAGAGATGGGCAGCTTACGGCAACATGCTGGGCCCTGGCCACTGCCTACCGGTCGCTGCTTGGTATAGTACAGCACCTTAAGGAGGAGGAGAAAGGAAACAAATCAACAGGTACTGCGTCCACACAAACCACGGCTAAGCCAGAGGTAAAATAAAGCAAATTAACCAGCATGGTGTCCACGCAAACTGTTGTGGAGCCAGAAGGACAAACTGAACCAACAGCAGTTGCCCCTGTCCAGAAAAGAACATCCAAGACTAAATCAGTTTGCTTAGTGGATGACGGGGAAGAGGCAGGACCTTCACGCTCAGCAGAAGAAACAGAGCCAGAAATCATCCACTCGGTCCCTAACCTGGGTGATCTGCATGAGCTGCAGAGAGAGTTCATGTGATAGGCAAACGAGTCCATTTTGACATGGCTGCTCCGAATCTGGGACGCCACAGCTAATGATACAATTCTAGATGGGAGTGAAGCAAGACAACTGGGATCTCTGTCTTGAGATATGGTCATTGATCAGGGGATTGTAAAGAGGCAGGAAACACTCAGCCTCTGGCAGCAACTGTTGTCAAGTGTAAGGGAGAGATATCTTTGTAAGGAGGACCTCCATGTGTAGCAAGGACGATGGAATGAGGTATCCGATGCTTAAGAGAATTAGCTGTACTGGAGATAATCTTTTCAGAGGACGAAAGATTCCCTAAAAGTCCGGACGGCGTACAGTGCACATCCCAGATGTGGTTAAAATTTGCACAGCTCGGGCCAGAAATATATTCCCATTACTTAGCAATGTTGCAATGGAGGGAGGGAGAAGACAAGGTGGGCGCGTTGGTTAGTAAACTCAGGATTTATGAAGACACTGTTACCGCCCCACTACAAGCCCACATCTCCTCTGTGGAAACAAAACTGGCCGAACATGTCCAAAGCCTGGAAGAGAAGACTGAAGAGGGCCACCAGAAGCTAAGAGAGGAATTTAAGGAAGGAATCTTCCATATCTTGTCAGGACAAACGAGAGTCTCTGCTATCAGGAGAAGGCCTCCCCCAGCTAAGGAGAGAGGGTACACTCCCCGAGGTAATCTATGGTTTTACCTCCATGAGCATGGAGAAGAGATGAGGAGGTGGGACGGAAAATCCACCTCTTCCTTAGCAGCCTGGGTACATGAATTGAAAAGAGGAACAACTACCAGAAGAAACTGTTCAAGGATAAATGTTGCTCCAGTCTCTCATGGGCAAGACTCCAAACGGTAAAGAAGTGATGATGTTATATGCGATCCTCTCAAAGGGACCTCCAGGTCATATTTATGGTAAGAGAGCAACGAGTACCACAACCAGAACTAGGGGGGCCCTGCCTCTAGTCAGGTAGAGGAGAGGGACAATCAGGTCTATTGGACTATGGCCTGGCACATCAGACCCACAAAGATATGAGGCTCTAGACGACACCAGCGCACAATGTACTTTAATGCCATTGATATATGTAGCTGATGCATAGTACACTAACAAGGATTCTTCACAAATTCAGCTGTTCGTAGACAAACACCACATTTGTGCCATGCAGAGGAGATTGTTAACTTGGCAATAATTTTCCACTGTTTGACTCATACACAGGTCTGAACTGCCTCCTCCTATTGTGTGAGAAAAAGATGATCGAGATCTAGAAATCTTTGCTGGGGTGGGTCAAGGTGGGGAGCTGGTAGCCCATGCTGGCCTCTAGGGTTTCTCAGTGGAAGAGGATGTACAGCACGGCTGTATCATCTTGCTTCATGTATGGATGGTACGTAGCGTTGCCAAACATTAATAATGGGCATTTAGCAATTGAGACAGTTTAGAGAATGACCTTTCAATTTAATTAAAGCTGTAAAATAGCTTCACATTTCTGGGATTAACCTTTTTAGATGGAGACAGATGTTCTAGAAAGAGATTAGAGTACAAATGAATGGTCCCTCGATTTAGAAACTAAGCAGCTGTAAAAAGTTACAATTTCGAAACATAATTAAACTGGTCAATTGTATAGTTTCTACACAATGACTTTTAAATGATACAAAAATATTGCGGTATTTTGAGTCATTTAAAGATCTGCTCAGTGTTACATGACTTATGTTTTCCAACAGAAAATTGGTTATTAACATTTACCTCAAAATAACTTACTTTTTTTGGGGAGTGGGTAATTTAAATGTAATGGACAGTAAGATCACTTTTAACTTTGCATTAAATTGCATTGACCTTTTTGCAAACACAAGCCTGTGATTTCCACATTTCAATTCCTCACTAGCAACGAAAACGTCTCAAGTTAGAATTATGTTTTCATTATATGTTGATCTACATTAAATACAGGGTACATAAGAAAAATCTTAGCATGTTTTTTTACAGGGCACCCAACCAAAATCTTTACAAAAGATAAGATAATCATTAATTCCTCAGCGTAACAGACACACATGCCACTTTTATAAATGTACCCTTATGTTCACTCGCCAATAAAATAGTAAACAAATCAACTTTTTAAACCATTTTTTATAAATTATTAAAGTATTTTTACTGACACTCTCCAACAATATACAAAAATAATACTACAAGAGTACCAATCAGTCTGGCCTACCCCTCATTTCACAGAAAAGCAGAGGTTATGGAAGGATGTTCTTGTAATCAATCATCACTGTAGATGTCTCCTGCAAACGGTAGGTGTACATGGCTGCCCGTGACGTTGGGAAGTCGTGAGAGATCAGGCAGGTTCTGGATCCTTGACCTGAGTTCTTTCCTTACTTGGGACACTCTGGCTAACTTGCGTTTGTACTCCTGTAACACAGAAGAATTCAATATGAGGTTCTTTTGCTAATACCATCCCTACCACTTATTGCACTTGACAGTAATTAATTTCCAAATTAAGTATTCCTTCTGCAAGTTAGATAAACAGCCTTTAACAGGTGAGATACCAGAAAACTGGCTATTTTGGAGACAGAGGCATCAGTTCTAGCATTTTTTCAGCAACTGACTTCAAAAGCACAGACATGGTATTATTTTGCTTTGAATTGTAAGTATATAATTGCTAAACAAGGAAGACAATCCCAGTTAACACAACCACAGGCTTTTTCCATGTACTAGTAAAATGGAATTATTCTTAAAACTTTATTATGGAGAGTTCATACACATACGCTATTACCACTCACAGACTATGGGAGAACAAACTTACTGATTTCATAGAAGTTATTTTCATCTCATACTGATGAAAGAATAACAACCAACCAAATATCCTCTAACCAAGCCTGCTGATCCACCCCCCCAAGCTGAACAATTTTGTATTAATTTTTATAACAAAAAACATACTTCATCAGTACATTTATGCATTTAACCCTGAGTTTTGAGAAACTTCTTGAATTGGAAACTTAGGATTTCACATTGTGTTGGAATACTACTCTGATATATTTCATGATCATGAGGCACTCTTCACTTGAAACAACATTATATGATGAACTATTTAAAAATGTAAATCAGTGCACTGAAATATAGTTAGTGCTCACCTACTAAGAACATAATACATAATGGAAAAGAATACCAGTTTGTATAAAATGAAAAGTTATCCCAAAATATAAGAAGATTAAGGTATAATTCACAGAAATACTTAAACTTCAAATACTTGGAAAGTTTGGAAAGCAGAAGCAGCTAAGCATTACCAGGCAAAGTGGTGCTTCATGAAATTATACCACAATTCACAACACACCAAATGCAGATGCTTCCTAGAGTGGCTGCAGGTTTTGCTGCAGCCTGGGAATGGCTAGAAATAACAACAAATACTTAACCTACAACTTGGACAATCAACACATGGATAACCAAGATCTCATGATTATAACCACTTCTAAATAATAGTGGGGAAAAAACTCTACATCATCCTGCAACAGTGCCAAAACACTTGAAAGTTCCAACAAGTATACAAACACTGTGCAAATGTCTACTAAAGATAACAATCATGCTGTTTATTATCTAAAGATAATTTTAAACGTTACTATACTGTTAATAGCATGGAAAAATAAGGAAGGACAAAGAAAAGGACCTTTTTGTCATAGAGCTCAATACACTAGTAAAAGTGTATCCCCACATACCTGGGGGATGATCAAGATTACTGGACAAGGTCCAACATATGTTAAAAAAAAAATTTTGCAACCACTAGCAGCAGCATGATCTTCTTACCAAGGGCAGTAAAAGAACCACAAGATAGCATAAATTCTTAACAAGAAGGTAAAAATAATAAAAATAAATAAATAATTTTTAAATAATTAAAAATAATTAAATCTTTACATAGAGAGGAACGAAGTGTCCCTGAATTAGGATCATCAATTCCTTGATATCATATATCTTTCAAAATCAAATACTACATACAGTTCAGAGTCTTAAAAGATACTAAACACACTGAAAATACTACAGATGCCCAGTCAGTGGAACTGTAAACATTTGGTAACAGTACACAGGGTAAAGCAGCATTCCTTTTATGATACAGATGACCAAAGAAGTCTTACGAGTCCCTTGGTCCTATGAAAACCATCACTTGCTCACACTTGCCCAAAACATCCTCTGTGGTACAAATGACTTCAGGATGCGGCTGTGGAACTTAAGGTCTGTATCCTGATACTGTATCCTTTCAATAATGCCCAAAGGTCACAAATACTTCACTGTTTCATATATAATATACATTCATATATAATATTACAGCAGCATTGAGAGGCCTCAGTGATCTGAGTCTCTGCAAGATGCATAGTCCTTTGCCAGCTACTTGTTGCCCTTCTCACTAGGCATTTTAATTGAGGTTGCAGAGATATACCCCTGACTATTATTTTTAGGAAACAGATTTTAATGTCAAAGAAAAAGACAGCTTTCAGGTTGCATGGTTTAGTAAAACAACCAATTTGGCAATACATAGAATAATAATCAATCAATACACTCAAAAGGCCTAAAATTTGTAAAAGATAGTAACTATAAAATCCCTCTAGAAGTTAATTCCTGTAAACAGCTGAATCCTGTCCAAATTAATTCTCCATCAATGAAGAACGTGAAGCAACAAATCAGTATCCCTTTATAGGCTTGAAGCCTGATGCTCATCAAATATGCACAATTACTTAGTGACAGACTTAGAAGCTATGTTATTGCAAGACTTCACTCCAAAACCTGAAACGTGCCTTATATTAGACTGTCAGTTGCTTGACTCCTTTAAAATTCCCTTTAGCTGATAATAAATAACTTCCATGACAACATCACTTTTCTGACCTCCAGCATTTTCCATATAAATTTTGTCTAGCACTTGTTGCCTAGTGACTATCAGCTTGATCAATATTACTGACAGTAGGTTCCTTTTTTCACTAAGGAAAATATTCTCATACGTTCAGTCTCCCACATAAAACAGTCATCTTCCTCTCGCCAACACTTCTGGCATAAGGCACACCCTCAGTAGTCAAAACTTGTTCCTCATGCCTTCTCAGAAACAGAGAACCCTGAGAAAGTTTGGTCAAAGTTTTTACTGTAAAACTATAGTAAATAAAAAAAATAGATAAGGTTTTGTAGTTCATTATATTATTGTTAAGCTACAGAATGCAATTGTAATCCAATTTTGCTAATCCAAAGCATGTGAGATTGAAAGTGCAGGTTAGATGTTCATAGCAATCCTCCCCCACAAGCAGAAAAATTATTCACCTTATCCAGAGCACCTCTTTTCCCATGACACACCTGAAACCATTTAGAAATCTCTAGAAATCTCCAGTTTTGATGACCGGTGAGCAAGTTCAAAAAAGGGGTGGTTTTCAAGTGCAGTGACCCAGCAGTTTTGAGGTATTTTCAAGACAGATGCTTTTCACAGTTTGATTCTATTTAAAATCACTAGTGACTTCTGAAAAGGTTTGCTTGTATAATTTTAAGGTTGCTACTGTAGTTCTGGCATTACCTAAGTAGTCCTGGACTGTTGGAATGCAAGTATCAAGTACTCATTACCAACAATACTCATTATATGTACAGGCTTTATTATTTTATCATAATAGCATGCACATGTACCGACAACCTTTTTCCTCAGCATGTATGTTGAGAGTGTGACTTAATTAAAGCAGAGTCATGGGAATGGGGATATCCTGGTGTTATTTTTGATATCTTTGCTCCATTAGAAATGCTGTACACTATACAACCAAATAACAATTCAACCATATTTTTGACACTTTTAAATGGAAAATTTTAAGTGGAAATCCTCATGGAGAATTTCAATTTCATTTTCATTATGCTGATTTTTAAGATATACTTCCAATTACCCCTGTGTAAATGAGGCAAGATTCAAGCTTTTTACTTCAAACAGTCAAGGACAGGCAGAAGTGTGATGCTTTCTTTTGCTACACTGAGAATAATTTGCATTCCTTCCTACCTGTGGAGAACCTTACTCTTGGGATATATGGGCAACCTGATGTATGGAAATAAAGTCTCTTCAATTTCTCCAGTGGTTTAAGATAACACTGCTTTCAAGCAATAATTTTTTGTACTTCCAGTCATAAAAGTAGGTTTATGAGATAATTAGAAGAACTTATTTTGCTCATTAGAATCCCACTGATTACTACAGTTTCCATTACTTGTCAGTGTAGAATATGGATATTTTGTGAAAGCAATGCTAACAACATATGGATTCAGCATCCAGATTAATAGTGATTCTCTATCAAATAAGCACCGGGCAAAAAAGCCAAATAATTTTTGATTAGACACTACAGACATCATAAATAATAAAAATGTGGGCAGGCTAAACAGGCTGAAGAGAATATTTTCCCTTCCAACTGAAATAGATCTTAATATAAAGTTTCTGCAATTACTGCAGGAAGGCGGTACAGATAAAACAACTTGAAACTTCGTGGATATGCTTCCCCTTTATGATATTGATATGACTTTGAACCTTCATCTGATCACTGAGGCTATGGTATGCATCTAAATACTGTGTGGTAGGAAACGTACAGCAAAGCAAGAATAAAAAAGTTTGCAGAAGACCAGTATTTAATCTGCACCCTGTTAGCTACAGAAAGAAAGGTAAGGTGGAAATCAACACTTTCAGTACAGAAAAAAAACAAACCAAAAGGCTTAAAAGGCTTTTAAGGTGTTGAGAGTATGTGTGTACATTGAAATCCATGGCTTGTATGCACACCATATTTAAAACTGAGATCTCTGACTTTGTACGTCCATTACAACCTTCCAGTTTCAGGTGCACATGTCAGAGCTGTGTCACAGAGCAAGGCTTCTCACATGCTGTGCCCAACACTGCAGAAATCACTAGAATTTTTCAAAGGTTCAGATGAAAGCAAATATTATATGATAACCTGATATCTAGATTTCAAAGTTCAAAATCACAGTATTTTTTTATAGACTCCACTTTGTTAAAATCAAATGCCTCATGCAATCAGGGTATTTTTCTGCAAGGAAAACTGACAACTACACTTAAAGGAGCCAGATAAGCCTATCACCCTGGAAAATGGATGAGCAGGGTGAAATTTTGTGCCTTTTAAAATTTGGTATGCCTTATTCTCCAGTAGTATGATTAAAAGCTCAACCTATTTACCAGTGTTAAGGACAAACAAACCCCTGAAATAGCTTTCATTTAAGACACTGAACTGCATTTGAACACATCTATTTGCTTCACACAAGGTTGAAAAACCAAGGACAGTTATGACAAGCTTAGGAAAGGACAGGCCTGGCTAACCTTCTATTGCACATGGTGTATTTCCTAGAAAACAGATTTCTGGAAGAAAACTGCAACTTTTCGGTATGTTAATATCTAACCATTTTCTATTACTTCTTGTCACATTTAGAGCTAAATAAGCAACGAGCACACCTACCTAGTGACTGCTTTTTTATTGCTTATTGTTCTGTTCATTGCCCCAGGCATTACTAACTGTATGCACTATTTTGTGTGCAGATTTACTAATATTCTCATAGGTTTTCTAATGGCATGCTTCACCATTACAAAACACAATTTATTCTTCAGAAACCTTTGAGTTGACAGATCAAAATGAAATGCATCGTCGAATTCTGGGTATCCCATTTTTCTTAGTACTTAAAATTACCAAGAAGTTAACACTTCAAAACCAATTTTCTGAATTAAGTTAAAGTATTAGAGACTCCTCAGCTTGTCTGCAAATGAAGCAACAGGAAGCAATCAACTCAGAAGTGTGAAATCCACAAACTTAATCAGTGAACATCTGGGGAAAGCTTGATCATGTGACTTTGTCTACCATCAACTGTTATGCTGTGGTACACACTGGAATACACTGCAGGTCTTCAAATCACAAATTCCTGAGTGAAACAGTAGTAAATAGGAATAAAGCATTTTATCAGGACGTTTCCCATCTGAAGACTGATTATCAAAAACGCAAAATCCTCCACAGGGTCACAAACTACTCTTCCCATTCCTTGAATGTGCAATTTCTTTGACCAGCTCCTTCCAGCCTAAAACTGCATCTCAAATCTCATTCACTGCAGTCTTGACTCCTGGTTTCCATCTCCATTCCTGGAACACTGTTTCTAGAACCAACCTTTGTCCAGCAAGGATGTTCAATGCCTCTCAGACTCCTGTTGTGCCTGTATTCACATGCAATACAGACACGCACAACTGGTTTTTGCCAACCTCTTCCCATTTCCATCTCTTCTGACTCCATATCTAAATTCCTTCCTCTCCAATCCTCATCTGCACTTTTCATTCTGTCTATAGTTTTGATCCCATTACACCTGTTTCTCCCCAGTCCTATACTTGGCCTGTCCCTATTCTCTGCATTTATAGTACCTTCATGAGATCTTTCTATCCATTCTCTTAGTCCAAATGAATTCCAGTTCCTCCCATTTCAGTCCTACATGATGTTACGCTTTTCTGGCTGGTCACTCCCTTCTCAGCCAGCTGATCTCCTAATCCATTCTTTACTGTAATGTCTAGTCCTGGATTCCTTCTTAATCTCCAAAGCTTCTGATGCCAAGTTCCATGTGCACTTTTCCAAGTTTTGCATTCAAACTGATCGGCTTCCACCTGTCCATTACTCACACGCACAGGAGCCATAGACAACCCATGCATGGAATTTCTCTGCTCTCACATCATAGAGAGCAAACAGCCAAGTGGCCCATGGTCAGCCTAGAGAACAACTGTACACAGTTTCAATTGCAGAAGTCTTCTTGAGCCCAAACCAGAAAACTGTCTGGCAGAAAAGTTCTTCATAGAAGTTAGTAATGTTTTAAGAAATCTCTGATGAGCATATCAAATGTAAGATTTTTCCAAAGGCTTGTAATTTAATTAAATTCAGGTTGATTTTCCTTGGTATATCAAAATGCATGTCCCCTCAGAAAGATGGATTTCCCCATTCAGTACTAATTTGAGAAAGAGCATAAATTATTTGATTTCAAATAAAAGGTAATTTTATATGACTTTTTTATCACAAACTTGTACTTAGCTTTATTATTGAGGATTGTGGCATTGTTGACAAAAAGTCGGTGAATGTTTGGGAAAGCTGAAGAAAAGAAAACAGGAACCTACAAGCCTTCAGGAAGGTGGTGGAATCACCATCCCTGGAGGAGTTCAAGAGGTGTCTGGATCTGGCACTGGGTGATATGGTTTAGTGGTTTAGGGGCTACAGAGACAGTGCTAGGTGGACGGTTGGACTGGATGATCTTGAACGTCCCTTCCAACTTTGACAATTCTATGATTAAGCTTAATTAGTAGGAGTATTACTAGGCTTACTTAGTTTATATTTATTTCCATTCAATCATAAAAGGTCCAGGGTGATGAATATTAATTTATAAATTACTATATAAAGACATTGCTTTAAGTAGACAATCTCTACAGGACTATGATTGAATTTAAAGCATTCCAGGATGGCAGATATGAGCAGCAGCTCAAATGAAAGATACCTGCTTGAGGTTAAATTTGGCCTCCTTGTGTTTTATTATCTGATACAGCATTTTTATCTGATTGAAAAATTAGCCATTAATAAACTCAAAGCTACGCAATTCCAAGAGATGCTTACATTATACTCAATCCTTAAGTTTCAAACCTTGGCTGACAGAATGAAGTTTTGGAGAACTTCTGATGACAAGCAATCAAATACTTCAGAACAATTCTGAGCAATTGTGCTCAAATACTCAAGTTGATACTCTATACAGACACAGAGGGGATAAAGCAGGACAGTTTTGAAAATAAGAAAATAAATAAAATTAAATGGCTCGAGGCTTATAGATAGCTTCTTAGTTTCAATCATCCACAAACAATCTAAAGGAAATCCAAATTAAAGGATACCAGGGTTTAATTTTAAAGGAATCTATGAGTGAAAAATTTTGGTGGTCTATAAGCAAAACATGCCTTTATCAATGCATTTAAGAACAGCTGTGTAAAGTCTTCAGGCTCAAATATTTACTGTATCTAACAGCTGAACTATAAAAATTGTGTGCATAAGATGCACATTTCTCATTTCACACACCCCGTGCCTGTAGGTCATTACAACAGTATCAGTTCCAACTTCAGATTCCACACATGCAACTCATCTTTCTAAATCTAATGCTGTGAGTGTTGAATCACAAAAACGTGGACTTGGAAGTTCATTATTTAACAGAGACAAATGGACATCTGAAAGTATGAAAATGCTGTAAAGCCAAGACTTCATGTACTTATTTTGAAGATGAAAAATGAATCTAAGAATGAAAGTACCACTGCAGGTCACCAGGTATGGATTTATCTATTGCTAGCCATGTTACAACTGTCTCAAATCCTTTTCTTTTGCCAAAGACAGATCTACATAAAGAAGCATAAAGCCTAGTTTTATTGTAGCAAGGCTAAGCACTAGTAGCAGTCTAATCCAAGCAGCTGAGAACTTAAAACAGGCTAAAGCATATAGCTTTTGCTACTGCAGTATAGAGTCACACAATGTTAACCTGTGAGCAAGAATAAAAATGAGAACGGTTTGATTCAAAGTGTTTTATTGACCTGAGATTGGGTATTAGCTATATTAGGGTGAAGTAAATAAACGCAGTGCAGATTGAGGACCCAAAATTTCAGCTACAGGCGGGCCCAGACTGCTGACCTTGTTCATTTAAAAAATCAGTGCAGGTCTATCCACATGAAACTGGTCATGGACCTTTTGAATAAGCTCTTACAACTATTTAATTATTCATGTTTGTCTTTTGTTTTCAAAGTTCATAAATTACTCCTGTTCAACCTGAAGGAAGAGCTATGAAGGACAGCCACCTTACAATCCCATAAAAGCCTTACCTGAAGAGCATGTGGCTATTTCTCACAGATTTTTAAAGAGTGGTTCTCAAAATAAGCCAAGAAATGCCATGGCCCATCCCATATGTGTACACTCTAATGAATCAGGTAGACATTTTCATATTACACTTACAGTTGTCAACTCATTCTCACAGTTTCATTAAGTAGGTTGAAATATCTGTTTTAGAGACACGGATTCTAAAGAAGAGCATTAAGTTACAGCTCAAAAATACGTATTCACAAGCCTGATTTGTTTAATGGTACTTGAAAGTGCTCAGTGTCAACTGATAATTGAAACTAGAGTTTACATGACTCCTAAGAATAATTGTCTGTGTAAGACAAATTGTTGATATGCTGCATGGTGATTTTTGTGGTTTTCTCACATTTTGTGTGAAATAGATACTTCAAATGTAGTATTCAGTGATGGGGATAGAAGCGTTAAGAAAGGTAAAGTTGGAAAGGAGAACAACACAGCAGCAGCACATATTCTGATTTACCTGCCCTTCATATGCCCTGTGGGAATATCTCCAATGAAAACTCTACTATGCAGGAAGCAAGCAAACTGCACCTGTTCTACAACCAACAAGGATCAGAATCTAAATTTTCCAACAATGCACATAAATACAAGTTCCATCATTTAAAGAAAGTGCTTACTCTTGAGCTTAAGTATTAAAATATTATGATGAGAAAAATCTGCCTTAGCAAAGTGATACCAAAAAAGTCACAAAGCAATTACAAGAAAAATTGACAATGTAAAAGTCTCTTACCAGTCAATCAATTTCAGGCAGCAAATTTGGCACATGCACATTTTTTACATTATTTACCAGATTCCAAATTGCTCAAATAGCGCGTTTTATTTTATAACAAAAAGGGTGTATAAAAGAGGTTGTTAGGGTAGAAATTATGAGCAACAAGAGAAGAAAAAGTCCAGAGAGAAAGCAGAACACAGAACAAGTAAATAACATTAAACAGAACAAGGAAAGACATTTACAGTTCTTTTCCTGAACTCTTCTTTCCCATTATAAACTATTTTGTTCCCAAAAGCCTACAGCTTGCAATAACCTCACTAATGCACATCTTTCTGTGATCTACTGATAACATCTATCAGTGGTTAGCAATCATTTCAATCTAAAATGTCTTAGTTTTTTAAAGCCTCTTTCATCCATTCAAGCCACCTATATTTCATTCAAAGGATCTTTAAAATCATTATGGTGGTTTATATACAAGCTCTGAAGAGTATCTGTGGGGTTTTCTGTTTTGTAGGTTTGTATTTCTATCCAGTTGTGGATGAAGGGACTTTGGAAGATCAGGTCATGAGGCAGTTTACTTTAACAACACTTAACTTACTATGTTTAGCTCATGATATTTACAAATATCAGCATGAGTAAATCAGTAGACTTGTTATGGGGGGAGGGAAGCAAATAATGTAAAAAAATCTTTTGTTCTTCCAATTTTCATCCAATTTTTAAAAAATGTGTTATTTTGGAATGGAGGGGAACACAGGGAAGAACTATTTGTTTCAAAGCAGAGCATTTCAGATATTCCTGATAAAGATTCTAATGAATAAGATTTCTGACTATTCAGTAGGCATCTAAACACAGTTACTCTTCTTCATCAGTTTCTCTACTGTATTTTCTAAACTAGTTATTTGTGTTTCTAGTGTTGAAAAAAATAGAATTATACAAAGTAATAAATCACTTAACTTTCCTTTTCTGCCATGTGCTCCTTGCATGTCAGAATGCAAGTCACTTAGATATATTTTCACCAAGTACATTACCCTGGGTTTCTTGTATGACACTCCAATCTTCTCCCTTATTCACACTAAATCTGCTCTCACAAACTTGATACTGCTTTAAATTTGTACCAAAGGTTCTAAAGAAAACCTCAGGCTCTACTTCCATTTGTACAGGCTAAAATAAGAATCTAGAAACTTTTCCTTTGATTTTCCTCACAATGTCTCAGGAAAGCAAGGAAGTACATGGGGTTTAGCAGATTCAATGTCCAAACTGCAAAATAATAACATCTGTCTCATTTCACTGGTGAGCTGCTTCAAATTCCTTGAGAAAACAAGACCTGAAGTAGCAATGAAAACTGCACTCTGGCTGCAGCAAAGGGCCTACCACAGTGACGAACTGAATTGAACACAAATCCATTATACACAGTTAGTAGGGCGATTTAAAAACTTTTTTATTAATTGTCTATCCCTACTTGCTCAGTAAACCATTAAGGCTGGTCTGTCCATAAGCTCATGCTTCCAGATCTCTTGTAAATGTGATGGTTGAAAGAAAAATAAAAATAAAGTACACCCAGCACCTGACATCTGGGACTTCATCGAGGGAAACAAGGCCACCAGGTCTGAACCTGCAGCTGAAGTTTGGGCAAGAGCTGGATTGACTGGCTGGCACACCAAAACCCTCCTGCCAGGACATGTGGTAGGCTAGAGTAAGTGTATGAAGAAGTATGTACATTTCCCCTGTGTATATGTTTCCACCCTACTATGAGGTAGAGAGCTTGAGTACTAGGAATACTTCGCTGTCACTCTGCAGTGCAATCATCACGAAAAAGGGCAACATTTCCCCCTTGTGGGGGGGGGGGAACATGACAATGAATAGCACTAAATCCAAGGTACACTTACTTATGATTTAGCCATTACTTATAATACAATATAAAGACTTGCGCCCAAACTTAAGATTCCATCTTAAAGAGTGACTGCGCAAGTCACCATGCATTCAAAATTAAAAAAAAAAAATTAAAGGGCTTGCCTTGTAAAGTAAAAGGTGATTTTTATAGTGATACTCTGCAAAAGCAAGCTAGCCAGGCACCACAAGCTGAATGGCTTAGCAGCCCAAACGTATCCCTCAGTGACTCCCAGCCAGCTCTAGCAGGTCTTCGGTAGTGCAATAACATAGCAAGAGGGGCCTCTGCTGAAAGAATAAGTTGATGGTGCAGAGAGGACACACCTGTCCCCCTTTTCACACCTAAAAAGAACAAACTACAAAACCATGCTTTTGTCACTGTTCAGGGTAAGTGACTTGCTCACAGCTACGTTATCAAGAAGAGTCAAGAGAACAGCGGCAAATAAAACCAGCAAAAAACCCCTCTCCACAGTCATTCATGTGGAGGTGGAAAGCTGCAACTGTGTACAGCATATTTAATTATGTTGCCAGATGAACTGAGGTTCGGAGGATAAAGTTTATTTTGCAACATGGTAAAAGCTGTGTGACATCACATAAAAGCACGCTACGTGCCCCAGCGTTGGAAGAAGCATTGTTAATCACACATGTCCCATGAAGCAGTGAACAACATGCTTTAACAAATAAGTCTGTATGCAGCAGCATAGGAGAAAGATTTTCTGCAATTAAAAATTTTGAGGGACGTATAGAACACATTTCCTGTACAAATTATTTCAAGGAAACTCTAGACCTCATAGCATTGTCAGAATTGCCCAGTATTGCCCTCCCACAGCAGCACTGACAGCCTGCCTGCTGACCCTCACAACAGTGTCTATGCATGTACCTTTTTCACTAGTAGCTTTGTTTTTACTGGAGCTCCAATGAAATTCAGTATTTTCCAGCACTCTCCTCCTATTGAAGCTTGTGCACTAGCTCATGTGCAGAAAATAAATTTGCTCTAAATCCTAAATCACGTAATACAATTAGGATTTCTTAAATTAGAAAACATATATTTAAATGCTAAGCCTTTATCAATTACACTGAAAGATGCAATTCCGGCATTTATGTTCAGTATTTTATAACTGAAGATCATTAAAACCTACTGTATACATTTCAGTCTTTATCACTTTTGGTATTTTTAAAAGTAGCTTCTGTAAACTTTCTTGCTCTTTTAGTTATTACCTAACTGAATGTTAGTTATTCAGACACCAGAGGACAATGAATATTTAAATCCAAACCTGAAGTTCAAGTGATCAATATGATCCTACAGCCCACACACAGATTTACCCTCAGAAGCCTGAGCATTATTGCTTGCTGTTTAACAGAAGCATAAGTTAAAACCTATAGCTGCTATTAAGTGTGAACAATTTTTCTGATCATGTTGCATGAAAAAAACATTAATTTCCACTGACTACTAGTGGCTGTTATCCATCGTGGCTTCAAGGATTTGGGGCTAGGATATTTGCCAAGTTGTAAATGAACACATAGAGAGCAGAGGACACAAAAGGAATAAGTGAAATGCTCCTAGTCAGCACAGTGACAGGAACCTTCTCTATCATGAACTGTTGGATTTGAAAAAAATTATGCTAATAGTAATTTTGTGTTTTACACATGCATCAACACAATAATTTTCAACTACCTGGCTTGAAAGCAGTTGCATGATCCAGTATTAGTAAAGCCCAATAATATTAGTAAGCCCAATAATAAAGCAGTATCCTTCTAGGACTCAAGGATTAGTACAAAGTATAACAGCTCTACTGGAGCATGAGCTGGGAAAAAAGGAATATCCTGGTGTTCCAGAAAACTGGCCTAGATTCTTCTCTCTGCACAAAGCAGAAGACACTGATCAGCCAGGAGATAAAAAGAAGTTTCAAGGTGCTTCTTTCTAGAAATGCTGAGAACATGGGTACAAAACAGCTGCAGAAGAAAAGCCCAGTACTATTTTTGGCAGGACTTTTTCCATAGATCCATTGCCACACAGTACATCTTCAATGACATCAGGATGACTTTCACTTACAGGCACTGCAGCAAGGGAATGCACTGACAATCCATATAAATTATAGGTGAGAAGCTAGCTAGGAAACCAAAAGAGTAGTGGTTTAAATACTGCTTTCTGGAAGATAGCCTTGTCATGTTAAATTTCTTGCTGCTGTGTTCTAAGACAGCACTACTGTACAAGAAATCCAGAAAACTGGGAATTGTTAGTCTTTGAGAGGAACGTGTTGTCTGAAAAAGTTCATGCCGGTTCCTCAAAACTAAACCAGTGTGTAGTGACCATACTTTCTGCTTTGGGCTTGCACCTGCATCACTGCTTTATTCTACAATCGTTCAGCCTGACAATAAAAATGTTTTGAGATAACCCTGCTGAGCAAGAATGCCTGATTTCTTCCACAGATAAGAATACTATAAATAAGGACCTTCCACTCCTACGTCTTCAGATAAGCTAAGCACAGTAATTGTGTTATGGCATATTAACAGGTATACACGCAGACAGAATTTAATTCTCTGTAGAGAGGTTGCATCTAATATCATCCTGCACCAAACAATGAGTTTCTGTACAGGAAATGGCACTCAATTCAACTACATGACCTGTGACTGCAAGCACAAAAAATGCCTGGCTTTCAAGATGGCATACTAAATTGTTTTGCTTAAACAGTCAGTGTATGCAATACTAATTAGAGTGGTACAACTTCTAGATTTTAAAGATTAAACTAAATTAAACTAAAGATTTTTTAATGTACTAGTGGTTTAAAACACAACAGCAGCAACAAAAATCACCACCACCTAGCTTTCCTAGGGCAGAAGACAGAAAGTGGGGAAAGAGAAAACCATGATCTACTGGTACCCATGCAGTATCTCTGACTTACATTAGTCATTATGGAATCATCGTAGATGAGTAAGACTGAAAAGCTATGGCTGGAAGCTACCCATGGAGTTTCAGTTCCACAAAACCATGATTTTCTCTGGATGCCAAATACTCCAAAATAAAGTTGATGATGGCACAGCTCACCAAGTTTACCTATTAAATACACTGACCTTATAAACAAGCCAGCACCTTTTGCACATGGTTCACTATGGATGGTTCTGATGGATGTCAATTATCTCCATCAGAAAACAGGTACCTTAAGATGGGAAATTTTATGATGTTTCTAAAACAGAT